CGTTAAGTTCGATTTCTCTGCAACACGGAAGGTTTTCGGGAAGCGGATTTTAAAAATTGTAGATTCACTAGTGGACGTTGTCCGAACAACTATTTTTACTGCTCTAACTCAAAAGTTTTCTGAATTTATAGTGTTTCGTTTTCTCAAAAATCGCGAAAATTTGGTTTTCGGTACCAAAATAGTTCCAACCACTTCCGAACTAAACTTAACCGGTTCTATCTATTATGGTAGTGCAGTTACAATGTAACACACTAATTTAGCGCTTTTTTCTGTTTCAAAAAATATCGAAATCTCAAAAATCGCGATTTGTGGGGGGATCAAAATATCGCTATTTTGACCCTAAAAACCGGTCTGCTTTCTGGGTTTTTCACTGAAAAACGATATAGGAGTATTAATATAGGCTATATAAGTAATATTATTAGTAATACTATACCCCTCCAGGTTTGTTCAATATCCGAATTAAGGTGCTTAACTCGGATATTCGCAGTTCGCTGAAGGGTCACTACAGTGCAGCACTGTCGAGCCCCCCACAGATTACTATCTTGATTTTTTGTACCAAAAGGGATACAAAACTTGTTAACGATACCCAACAGTCGATTGTTGTTGTCGTTTAGCCCCTTCTTGATGCTCCTTGTACTGCTTGCCGGATCAGTCTTATCCCAAGACCCTTCCGAATTGAGCGCAAATCAGCTGACCCTTCCGGATTGAGCGCAATTTATCATTAACGTGCTTAAATGCTCAAATAACCCTACAGTACAAGCCTCACAAACGTGCTACAAAATTGATCGTAACAATGCTGACTGATATAAATGCCTGTAACAACAATATATCTATCAACAACAAACGGGAGGGTCGGATCACATCTTGTCTGGGGGGATGATTTCTAGTGATTTTTTACTTTTTTTTTTTACTGTTTTTGGTTTTTTGGTTATTTGTTTTTTGTTTTTTGTTTTTCTTGGGTACTATACTACTTTTTGTTTGGTTTTATATATATCTTTAAGTGTTTTTGGTCACAAACCTCTCAGGGAGCGAGGGAATGGCCGATTCCCCACCCTTCCTGATTCGCGAATTTTTGGTCTTAACTAGGTTAAAAAGCTATTCACGGTAATCCGGAAGGCTTCCGCGTTCCGAACTACCCTTCCGCCCCGGCGGCTTAGGCCTATTAAGGGCGTTAATGTGAGCGTCCGCTCGGCGCGGAGTGCTCGTTAACGGTTCTGCCGGTCATGATGTTAAAAAAGAATAACACCCAGGAGCGCCATAAAAACAATCTCAAAAAATCTCACGCTTACGACCCGATCTAAAACGCTTTAGTTGAAAAAATTTGAAAAAAAACTATGCTACCTGTACCTCTCCGGATTGATGAATCCACCAAATCAAACACGTTAAGTTCGATTTCTCTGCAACACGGAAGGTTTTCGGGAAGCGGATTTTAAAAATTGTAGATTCACTAGTGGACGTTGTCCGAACAACTATTTTTACTGCTCTAACTCAAAAGTTTTCTGAATTTATAGTGTTTCGTTTTCTCAAAAATCGCGAAAATTTGGTTTTCGGTACCAAAATAGTTACAACCACTTCCGAACTAAACTTAACCGGTTCTATCTATTATGGTAGTGCAGTTAAAATGTAACACACTAATTTAGCGCTTTTTTCTGTTTCAAAAAATATCGAAATCTCAAAAATCGCGATTTGTGGGGGGATCAAAATATCGCTATTTTGACCCTAAAAACCGGTCTGCTTTCTGGGTTTTTCACTGAAAAACGATATAGGAGTATTAATATAGGCTATATAAGTAATATTATTAGTAATACTATACCCCTCCGGGTTTGTTCAATATCCGAATTAAGGTGCTTAACTCGGATATTCGCAGTTCGCTGAAGGGTCACTACAGTGCAGCACTGTCGAGCCCCCCACAGATTACTATCTTGATTTTTTGTACCAAAAGGGATACAAAACTTGTTAACGATACCCAACAGTCGATTGTTGTTGTCGTTTAGCCCCTTCTTGATGCTCCTTGTACTGCTTGCCGGATCAGTCTTCTCCCAAGACCCTTCCGAATTGAGCGCAAATCAGCTGACCCTTCCGGATTGAGCGCAATTTATCATTAACGTGCTTAAATGCTCAAATAACCCTACAGTACAAGCCTCACAAACGTGCTACAAAATTGATCGTAACAATGCTGACTGATATAAATGCCTGTAACAACAATATATCTATCAACAACAAACGGGAGGGTCGGATCACATCTTGTCTGGGGGGATGATTTCTAGTGATTTTTTACTTTTTTTTTTACTGTTTTTGGTTTTTTGGTTATTTGTTTTTTGTTTTTTGTTTTTCTTGGGTACTATACTACTTTTTGTTTGGTTTTATATATATCTTTAAGTGTTTTTGGTCACAAACCTCTCAGGGAGCGAGGGAATGGCCGATTCCCCACCCTTCCTGATTCGCGAATTTTTGGTCTTAACTAGGTTAAAAAGCTATTCACGGTAATCCGGAAGGCTTCCGCGTTCCGAACTACCCTTCCGCCCCGGCGGCTTAGATGTTAAAAAAGGTTCTGCCGGTCATGATGTTAAAAAAGAATAACACCCAGGAGCACCATAAAAACATCTATGTAACCTTCGCCCGGAAGATACATATCGACGGAAAATAAAACTAAGTCTTGAGACGACTGGCTAACGTCTAAACAGAGCTTTACATGTTTTTAATCGTCTCTACCAAGCCAGTTTTTTCGGTGGTCTTTCTAACATCGGGTCGACAAAAAACGTTACTGCTTTCGGCTTCGGTCAAAACACTCAAATTAACTTAATTACATGCAGAAATAGTGAGCTCATGGCTGGGTCTGAGTATCCCCAGACCACGAGGTCACTCCTAAAATCAGGGCTACTACTACTTATTGAATTATTATTGTTTTTGTTCAGTAGAAGAAATTTTTGCTAAAAAGTAAATTTCAAACGTTTTCGCAACTATGTGCATCGTCAGGATTTTTACAATAAACTACTCTAAATGACGATAAAACATCAATTTACAAATGTTGTTTACAATAAATCACATACAATTGGGTTCTAAACCATCATGATAAAAAATTAGCCAATCACAGTTGACCTCTAAATTACTATTAAGATTAAAATACTTTTAACCTCTAAAATTAATTAAACATTTTAAAATTCATTTGTCTGGAAGTTTCTGAGTCATAATTTCGATTTAGACATGTACGTTTTGAATAAAAAACCAAAAATATTTTGGGACTAAATTTTCAGTGTTAACTCCCTGCTCCTAAACTCATCGCGCGTGTTCAAGCCCGGTTTCTCTTTCCTGATATGTATTGCCTCTATTGTTAGCAATTTTGTTTGGTTGTTTGACCTATCTATAATTTCCCAACTAAGATCTGCGCTACTTCCCTCAAGTTGGCATTGCTGAAGGTGGAGGCCTACCGGTGAGTCTGCTTTCTTATGTTCCTCAATTCTAGTGGTCAAATGTCGAACAGTTTGTCCGACATAGGTGGAAGTGCATCCACTACATGACAGTTTATAAACCACTCTTGACTTGAGGTCATTGGAAAATGCTGACTTCAGTGATGGTAAACATGATTGTAGTTTTCTTGTGGTGAAAACCACTTGAACGTTCGTTAATTTTCGTAACCTGTTAGCAAAATATTGGCTCTGGTTACCTCTATATTGCACCATCAGCATTGGGGGCTTCTCATCCTTTGGTGATTGAACTGACAAACCCCTGTCACTATCCAGGGGCTTGCCTTTACCCTCGATGATCTTGCACAAGGCGTCTGAAGCCACCTTTGCGGACCAATTTTCCGGGTACTGATTTGTCAGCCATTGCGCCCTATTAGTTTCCATAGCCTTATCAAATTGCTCCCAGCTAGATGTACTCCTAAAAACCCTGTGTACAGTGCCTTGGATAACACTACGCTTATACTGAGTTGGGGCGCAGCTTCTATAGTTCAGTATAGTCCCTGTATCTGTTGGTTTTTGATACCAACTGCAAGTTACACGCCTATCCTGCGATACATTTATGTTCAAATCCAGGAACGGCAAATTCCCCTCCGAATTAGTTTTCTCTAGAGTGAACTGCAAATTTGGATGAAGAGAATTGGCGGCATCGAGAAGACAACTCGGCTCCCCTCTGACTGTTCTAACAATGTCATCCACATACCTGAGGAACAATTTCACCTGGGGAGTATCCTTCTCCTTGTTCTTAGCTCGGCAGCAGCTTTCACAGTACCAGACTATCTCGGTTATTGATGCGTATACTTCATCGGATATTTTTCCGCATTTTAGATGATACCAGTTTCGGCAACTCTCGCATTCAACCCCCTTTGATCTATATGTGACTTTCCTGCTGCAACATGGGCACAAGCCGTTTTTGTCATTAAGAGTAGTTTATTGTAAAAATCCTGACGATGCACATAGTTGCGAAAACGTTTGAAATTTACTTTTTAGCAAAAATTTCTTCTACTGAACAAAAACAATAATAATTCAATAAGTAGTAGTAGCCCTGATTTTAGGAGTGACCTCGTGGTCTGGGGATACTCAGACCCAGCCATGAGCTCACTATTTCTGCATGTAATTAAGTTAATTTGAGTGTTTTGACCGAAGCCGAAAGCAGTAACGTTTTTTGTCGACCCGATGTTAGAAAGACCACCGAAAGTACTGGCTTGGTAGAGACTGTTAAAAGCATGTAAAGCTCTGTTTAGACGTTGGCCAGTCGTCTTAGGACTTGTATTTTCCGTCGATATGTATCTTCCGGGCGAATTTTACATAAATCTGATTAGGCTAAAACCGAAAACGTATGAGAATGAAGAAAACTATTAAAAGTTGTGATTTTATAAGTTATGTAGTATCTTTTTTTTCAATTCTGGTTGATGAGCGTCAAGAACGTAATTTTGAAATGTAAGTGAAGCTTTTTCTTGATCGTTGATCATGTTTGTCATAATTATAAATATAGTTAGAGCTTACGTTTGTAAACTTCTTAACTAACAATTTTTTCTTTGAAAACTCTTCATTCAGTTTTATTTTTGATTGCTGCTCACATGGTTAATCATGCGGCTGGAACCAGATAAAGCCGCTGGAGGTTAAATTCAGCATGCCTGCTTCTGCTGGTCAAAAATGTACCTCCATTAGTCTTCCACTGGCGGTCTGCAATGAATCCAGAAACGGGTTCTTCTACGCAATCACCATGCTGTAATCATTTTTCCTGCCTTATATATCTGAGGGGTAGATCTTCTTGCGCTGAGGGGTGCTTGGGTCAGACCTATTGTTCTGGATTCTATCTCGTTCGTTCTTAATAAGACATAGCCTGATTGGATCATTTAAAATCGCAGCTATTCTATTCGATTCCAATTTTGGGTTTCAAGGAACATAGTTTTTGTGATCCCCTCCGGATCGCGGAAAATGCTAAAAATCTGATGTTTTTAATTTGAAGTTTTCCATGATTACAATAATGTTGAAATCACAATATTATTTCCATGTGAGCACAAAATTATTGATTCTATTACCAGACCGTTTATGTGGGAGTTTTTTCATTTTGTTGGATCATTTGCCGCTCATTAATTGTTTTTGGATTTTCATTAAAAGCCGTTGATTGTGTTTCTGGACGTGTTTTCCGCAAATAGAACAGCAATTTTGAAGTTTTCTTTACTGTGGTTTTTCCGTTTTTGGACTTAGTGGCTCTCTCTTTCTGTCTGGTAGCTTGAAATGCTGTTTATACGTGGTATCGCAAGTGTTGCGAAGCTTCGCTACTGCTAATTAAACAAATTGATTGAGCTCTAGTTAAGTATCAAGGTGAATTATAAAGTGTAGTTCTTAAGAATTTCAATTATGGAATGCTTGGCTCATGATTGTTTTTTCGGATCAAGTTAACATCCTCCTCCCCAAATAGACCACGTTAAGATCCTCCACCCGAGCGTTAATGTTAATTTAAATCTACTTAGCGCTGCATGTAAAATGCTCTATTCTGATTGGCTGAAAATTCGAACACAGAACCAAGTTAACATCCTCCCCTCTAAACGGATGGGGGGAAGGATGTTAACTTGGTCCGTTTTTTCATACTTCAGACTAGTTATGCTTCAGCTACTGCGTGCGGTGCCCTTGAAATCATGTCGTTGGAGTTCATCTTCTCTTGATAAGTTTAGGGAACGATTGAATGTTCACATAGAATCCAGCGACCATTCTAAATATCAGAAGCTTAATAAGCTTCTTCCTCGTGAACGAATATTTTCTCTGCTTGATCAAGATTCTGCTTTCTTGGAACTGTCACAATTAGCAGGAGACAGAATGTATAAAAAAGATTTAATTAAAAGTGGAGGACTGATAACAGGCATCGGAATCGTGAATGAGAAGCTGTGCATGATAATGTATAGCGATTTTACTGTTAAAGGTGGTTCGTTTTATCCTATTGGTCTGAAAAAGTACTTGCGAGCTCAAGAAATAGCCGCTCAATGCGAGTTGATAAGCATACATTTAACAGAATCTGGAGGTGCGGCGTTGCCTTACCAAGCTGATTTGTTCATTGAAGGAGGAGAGACCTTTTACAATATTGCAAAGGCGTCGGCTGCAGGGTTAACTCAACTGACTGTCGTTTTTGGCTCGTGTACAGCAGGTTAACAGTAACTCAATAGTTGTTATTAGGCTAACAGCAATTCAAATTTTTGTGATGGGGGTAACTCGCAGGTTGTTGTAGGAGCTGCATACGTTCCGGCTATGTGCGAGGAAAATGTTATCGTGGATAGAAAAGGATACATTTTTCTTGGAGGACCTCCTCTAGTTCAAGCTGCTACTGGAGCTGTCGTTTCGGCTGAGGAACTTGGCGGGGCTATTGTTCATTGTTCACAGAGTGGTGTCTCGGATTATTTTGCTGCAAATGATCAACATGCTATTGAATTGGCACGAAAAATAATTCGAAATTCAAACTATAAACACAACAAAAAATTGGTTGATTTGTTTTCGAAAAGTGCTGTGAAAACATCAGATTTCAATTTTGATGGAACTCAAAGAATATGTGCTAGGAAATTGATTGAAGCACTTGCAGATGAGAATGAGTTTGACGAGTTCAAAAAAATGTATGGGAATGACATAGTTACTGGGTTCTGTAATGTGTCAAAAATCCATTGTGGGGTTATATCTAATAATGGAGTCCTCAGCGTAGAAGGAGCTTTAAAAGCGACATCGTTCGTCCAGATTTGTTCGAAACGAAAAATTCCGTTGATTTTCATTCAAAATGCATTAGGTTTGTCTTGTTTGCAAACTTTTATGTAGAAATCATTAAATGTAGAATTTTGACGCTAGTTTACCGTTTTAGGCATTGAAAAACATGATAATTTAGAAGTCCAAGATAATCGAGGGAAAGCTAAAGCAGCGCTTATGTCTGTTGTTGCGTGTTCTGAAGTTCCAAAAGTTACTTTAATCATTGGAGCTAGTCATGGAATTGAAAATTTTGCGTTTTGTGGTAGATCATTCAGTCCAAATTTTCTTTTTACTTGGCCGAATGCCAAGGTTTCGTCAATTAATTGCGAAAGTATACCCAACAGCCAACATCAGTTTGAAAAAGAAGAAGAGGAAGCAGTTTTTGGTTCGGCACGGTTATGGGATGACGGTATCATTGAGCCAAGAGACACGAAACAAGTAATATCGTTGAGTTTAGCCAGTGCATTGAACAGGACAATTAAAAACTCTGTCTTTCCTGTCCTAAGAATGTAAGTTCTTGATGTTTCAAACCTTCGACAAGAAAGCGTAAATTAAAGAAAGATGTACTATAATTTTTGTAGCAGAAAATTTAACCAGAGTTTTGACCTAATTTTGTGTAGCTACAAAAAACTTATTCGTTGACATATGGATATACAAGTGCGCGATTTGTAGTTTGAGCTCATGATAAATAATATCTGTCACGGACATATTTACCCGATATACAAAGTGGCGAGGAGCTGTGTTTGGGCGTTTTTGTTTTCTATCTTTTTCAGCGCAAAAGCAGTTACCTTAAATAATCATCGGAGTGATCAAGTGATAAATCATATTATATTCACTTCAATTAAGTATATCACAATAAATTCATTTCAGTTGCTTAATAGGCTGTTAAAATTAAATAGTTAACTCAAAATTGAATTTGAAATTGAATGTTTCAAGCAATCCGAATATGGCTGCCAATTAAAACATGTATGTTGAGGCGCAAGCAACAAAAAATCTAAAATAATGATATTTAAAGAATAATGATATTTAAAAATTTTCTAGAATTTTAGAAAAAATCTTTTTCATGAGATGATTTAACGTGGAAGAAGTTTTTTAAACGACTGAGATACTTACTTGAATCTAGCTAAATAAATAGTAGAAAGATCATCTCGATAAGATTTTTTAAGATAAACTTAAAACTTGTGAAACTGAACTTCCATGGCTGAATGGCTTATTTCTACTTTTTTCGATTGCACTTTATAGAGCTGCTTTTTATGTTCTCGCTAGTGTTTAAAAGCTTCTCTGTAAAATCATTGCAATTGTCATACGAGGGAGTTTTTTTATGACATACAGTTTATTTGACGTTGTTTTGCAGATAACATTAGGAATTAATTTTTGTTTCGACCTCTCTCGAAGATGTTTTTAAATTTTTTTTCATACCAGTTTTGAATACCTCAAGGAAGGTTTTATGGGTTCAAGCGTGGAATCATAATAAAGTCCTATCAATCGTGATTCGGATTCAGAAAAAAATCTGTCGAGAAAAACTAATCTGATACATTTATTTAGGAGAGAATTATAAATATAGGATTAGTCAATGAAACTACTTGTACAGATTATCTCACCAAGAATTTTGCAAAAAGTTATACAGTTCAATGAGGCATGACCCTGAAAAACTTAGGATAGAAGTTGCGAGGTGATATCGGACTTGAACCGTGCGAATAAAAAAGTCTATTACATTGGTCTAATCTTTCAGATATAGGGATTACATGTTTTAGTAATGTTACTTTAGCTTATGCTCAGTTATTTTTAAAAATCTATCTGGTGGGTTTATTATCGTCGAATTGCTCAAAGTTATTGCATTAAAGGTAAATATTTTGCCATGGCCGCTGATGACTTGGTTTCAAGTTAGGCATAGTTTTGGTCGTTATTGAGACTAAATTAGACGAAATTTGTTGAATTTTTCGCTGGCAATTTCCTTTCTACAATTTTATCGTTATTTTAACTATAGTTATTGCTCTTTTGTGCAGTTTTCGCCTAATTCAATAGCTTTTTGAAGAAAAAGATAACAGGAATTTTGGAAAACAAAAAATGCGAAAGAAATTTTTTTGAATTGCGTTCTTGTGTTTGATCGCAACATTGTCCTAATTGCGTAGCCAATGGCTGTTTTGTTCTGTTTGATTTTCGCTTGTGTTTTCCTAATCAATAATGATATTTTCAAATGGAAATTAATGAAGCAATTTGATAGCTTTTTTCTAATGTTTTCCGACCGATCTAATAATTAATGTTGGATTTTATTAAACGTTTCTTCCGACCGATCAGATCTTATATCGGTGATGATGGTTTTATTTTTTTCGGGAAAAGTCTTTAAATTTGTTCGGGCTCAAATTTACTTTATCGCGATTTGACTATTGATTTTTTATTAAGTTCAATTCAATTTTTGTGTTAAAAGGAAGGCAAACAGAACAGCAAAAGTGTAAAGGTCACAAAAAAAACGTGATCTACTTTTGGTTTCGAAAAGGGATTTATTTTTCAGATTTCCCGACGAAAAGAATTTTTTTTTCGAAAGTTGAGATTTTTTCAAACCAAACAGTATTTTTTTGTTTAATTGCGTTTATTGACTCTTTTCCAACACTCTGTTGGCTATGTTTTTTGTCATTTAACTATTTCCTTGGTCTCTACAGCCATCCAACTGAAACATATGTATCTCCATTTGCTCTTTTTAGATCTCAGCTTTCTAAAACAGATAGCTTTCATATGAGAAATCGTTCATATCATTGTTTTTAAAGCAAAAAGATCCGCTAACGACGATTGCAGTATTGTTGAGTATGCTCAAGAGTTAAGTAAAAAAGAACTAAGATTGTTGTTTGAAATAATTTCAGACTAGAAAATGCGACCTAATTATAGCACTCAGGCAGGTGCACAGCCATCTGCAACTGTCATGCATCATGGTGGTGCCGCCTACAGTAACAGTCGAGGACCGTCTGGACCTCCGAATCCCGCAGGGTCGAACTCGAAGCACTACCCTGGAACAAATCCTAGTCATCCAAACGCAACGTCATCGGGAAGTCATAGAGGAGGGTCAGCACATCAGTCAGGAGGGAACCCTAGACCCAGAGGCCGACCACCTGGCAGCGGGTCGAAAACAGGATCCAACGCTGGAGGATCTGCTGCTAATAAGCCTCCAGTTAAAAAGAAAAAACTAGCAGACAGAGTTATCCCTTTGGAACTAACAGAAATAGTTCCAGAATCGGAGTCTTATATGGAGCTGTTGGACTTTGAGAAGAAACTGGACACGACTATTATGCGAAAAAGACTCGAGATTCAGGAGGCCTTGAAGCGACCCCTGAAAGTGAAAAGGAAGCTTCGAGTCATGATAACGACGCAGCTTAATGTTCCACCTGAAGCTAAAGACTTGGAGGACAAGCCGGTTCTCCAATGGGAAATGAGAGTTGAAGGCAAACTTGTGGACGATCCCCAAAAACAAAGAAGGAAGTTTTCTACTTTTTTCAAGTCTCTGATTATCGAATTGGATCGAGAAATTTATGGACCAGACAACCATTTGGTGGAGTGGCACAGGTCGGCAAATACAGAAGAAACGGACGGTTATCAAGTAAAAAGGCCTTGTGAAGAAAGCGTGGACTGCAAATGCACGATTCTTCTAGTTCTGGACCACGACCCACCGCAGTACAAGTTGGATCCAAGGCTAGCCAGACTGCTAGGACTCACGAGTCAAAGCAGACCGGTGATAATTGAGCATTTTTGGCAATATGTGAAAACAAATAAGCTGCAAGATCACGAAGAACACGAGTATATAAATTGCGACAAGTATCTCGAGAAAATTTTTGACTGTAAAAGAATGAAAATTTGTGAGTTTCCAATCAGGCTGAACCCTCTTTTATCAGCACCCGAGCCTATTAAGATATGCCATCAGATAGACGTTTCTCCGGGCGAACCGAAAAAGACAAATGTTTTTGAACTAGACGTAGAAGTTGATGATGTAGTTAAAGACCAAATGAAAACTTTCCTTCTGTCGACTCAGAGTCAAAATGAGATTCTCAATCACGACACGAAAATTCAGGAGAACATTTCGATTATCAAGGGTCTCAAGATGAATCGCGATTTCTTCCAAAGTTATTCAAGCAACCCGAAAGAGTTCATTCACGAGTTGCTAGCTTCTCAAAGTCGAGATTTGAAAACGATGACAAGTCAAGCAGGGAATCCGGAGAAGGAGAGAAGGGCTGAGTTTTATCAGGATCCTGGTTGGATGAATGAAGCGGTAGGCAGATACATAAACAGTCAAGTTGAAGGCCGCAGGTTAGAACTGGAGCAGTCTATGAAGGGATGATTTGATAGAGGGAGTTCTGTCCGAAAATTATTTTTGCTAATTATGTCCAGTATTTAATTTTTTTTGTTAATGATTGTAGTAGTTGCATTGTACGATGCTTTTTGTTATCCTCTATCGTTTAAAAATTAAATGTCTCTGTATTCAGTTTTAAACTAGATTTTCATGTGGTTGCTCTTTTGGTTCCTTGAATGGTATGATGCTGGTGCCGAAATGGGGAGTGGAGATGGAATGAAAAAGTAGCCGCCTCTCGGTGAAAAAGCCCGTAACTCGAGGCTCTATGAGCCGTGATCGTTGCTCATTGCCCAGTCCAGATAAAAAAACTAACATATAATTCATAACCAGGGGCAGTACAGAGGTTCTCCGTACGCAAAGAGCTGAACAGCTCGTATATGATTTTTTTCACTTATGGATAAATAGTCTGAATTAAGTGTTAATGAATGTAATGAAGTCACTTATATAGATCGCATTTATTTTTTTCAAGAATGTCAAAAGTTGTTCATGATCAATTTGATTTTTCATGATTTCACTCTATGAGTTTCTGAAATTTTAGTGAATTTATGTGAGCTCAGTGAAACTGCCTGTTGGCTATGTAACAGCCAACAGTAACAGCCAACTTAAATAGTTGATTTCAAAAATTTACTGCGATTCATCAATTTTTAAAAAGGCTTTTCCTCTATAATATGTGTTCACGAAGAGCTTAATTTTTACTTCTCTAGGTCGTGTGAATTTTCAATGAACGAGAAACGACTATTCACTTTTGTTGGTCGCGGTGTTGTTTTTTTTCTCATTTTTTCTCTGAACTTTCGATTTCTCTTATATTCTAATATTATGTTCAAATGAAAAGGCAGAGAATTTGAATTGGCGGTGAAAAATGGAGTCAAATTAGGTATAAACGTTTTATATAATCTTAAAAATTTTTGTCGAAATGAATTAATTGTCTGTTAAACCGGTTTTTCAAATGGCGTTGATTCATCAACAAAGTGAATCATAAAATGATGAAGTCTTAGGGTGATTTTATTAATTCTATAAAACTCTAGCACGAAATTACCTGAGATCGTTTACGGGTTTCTAAATGTCTGTTAGCTTCGTTTTTGTCGATTTGTTGTTTCTATTTTGTCGGATTGATTTTTTCGGTGCTCCTTTCAAATACCCTGGTGCTAGTTTCAAGTCCAAATGGAAGGAGGAAATTAGAAAACACTCTGAAGTAACTTTTCTTTAGAAAAGTAAAGTAGAAATCAATTTTATTTTTAGATTTACCGAAATAATAGATATCTACCGATCTAGTTTACTGAAATTGGTTTTGTTTTATAACGCGTGCAATCAACTAGCGCTATCAAATTTACGATAATTTCTTGACGGGTATCCAGTTTTTTTTGACTGAGTTCCGATTGTACAATTGCGCTACGGTGCAAAAATTCAGTTTTATCTGGAGCCAAGTTTTCTTGCCTCTGAGGTTGCCTTTTGAATACACTACTATCGAGCTTTCGTGAACATAGTGTTATGGCAGGACTGTGTCATGGTTTTTTTTCCAATCTAAATCAAAAATACGGCTTTTTGATAGCGTGTGCTTTGACATTCGATTAGTAATAAGTAAACACAATCAATGAATTTTTAAATCATCTAAAGAACCGCAAAAGGCAATTTGTTTCAAACAACATAACAATCATAAAAACTCGATTTCAAAATTTTTTAAACTCATTATATCTCGCATTTTTCCATCTCGCTTTATGCTTTCCAATTTATTACATGCAAACTTGGCGTGGATGGCTTCAGCTTGTTATAGTCAAAATTGTTGCAAGATTGTGTCTTTTTTTATTTGGCAATTTGTTTGCATATGTAGCTGCCTTATTCGTGACTAGTGTTTGTCGATTACTAACCATTGGTCGCCGAGAGAACAGGGCGCGAGACTCCAAATCTCGATGTCGAAGGTTCGAACCCGATACCTGGCAAAGTTTTGATAATTCGAGGCGTATTTCTATTTTTTCTTACTTTACTTTATAAAGCTGCCTGTTTTTTTTGTCGTATTCTCGCTAGTGTTGGCGAAGCGCAGCTTCGCCTGCGTGTCATACTTGCTTCTCGATTGAGTGATCGAATAAAATTACGCTGGCGATAAGCAGGCTTTTATCGGATCGCAATTTTTTTCTCAAATCTGTACTATCGTCGACAAATAGACAGATTTATTTAGAGCATGCCTGCATTTTAAGTCGCGTTCAATTTAATTTTTTTACATGTTCGTTTTGTTTGCCAACGACAATTTCCATTTTTTCTTTTTTTATTTACTGGGCTTAAAGGGCTTATGCATATTTACTGCCTCATTTGCGTTTTTGATGAAAGGAAAATGTTTATCACCAGGTGTGTTTCGAGGGTGGACCTGAAAACTTTTTTGAGTTTTTTCGGTGTCTGTTTAAGTATTGTTGGCTTTGTTATCGCTAATTCAGTTTTATTCCGATGCTACGTTAGATTTCAAGTGTTTGTCTCCGATATTTTTCTCAAAATTTATTCACGACAGTTCGAGACAACATATAAGTTATGATAAATGCCGCTTTTTTAGACATTTGAAAAATGTTTTCGACTCGACTTGCGGCTTTCGTCTCTATTGCCGTCGGATGGCTTGCCATGCTACGTTTTTGTTGTATTGCAAGTAAAGCGAAGCTCCGCTTCGTATGTATCTTGTTCTATAAGTGTCTTCTCATTTGATGTATCTTCAGACCCACTGCATGCTTGTAGTAGTGCCATCATGTCCCAACAAGGCGCCGCTCTGCAGAGCTACAACAATGAACTAGTGAAGTGCATCGAAGAACTGTGCACTAAGAGAGACGAACTGCAGAAGCAGATAGTGAGCGAGGAGGAGGAGAAGAGCAAACTGCAGAACGACATCCGACTGTTGAGTGAGAAGCTGGCCAAGTTGAACGAGGGACTGGCCAAGAAAATAGCTGCTAGAAATGAGTTCGACAGAACTATACAGGTCCGTTTTCTAAAATCGAATAGATATGTTGGAAAATGTTTCAGTGCAGTGATTACATGATGTCAGTTGAATTTAAAAAGTTGAACAGACTTGTAGGCAGTAATCAAGTAGAATGTTTTCACCAAATTGTCAATGGAGAATGGATTATCAATGAAGAATCATAATCACCTCGTCGAGTGAAAATTTTCTCATCAATTTGTACTTACCTCGAGTTTTCAGTCTTTTAGTTAGTGGTCAGAAAATTATCTTATTCTCTAGTAATATATCCCCAAAAGCCTAAGCTACAATATACTACAATTCGAACTTGTCACATTTATAGTTAAGCTATTGTCATCACGAAAAGATTTTTCCTGCCCAATTTTATTCTTAAACAATGTTAAAGAAGTTGTCCTTGTCGAGAAAAATGTTTGCCATTCTTTCCCGCTAGATTGATCAGAAAACTGATGAGATTATGAGCGAGGATGTCTTATTTTGCAAATATTTTGACGCCATTGAAGCATATGGAAATTAGTTGATGAAGTTGAACGTCAACTCTTTGTCTTCATGCAAAACTAGTCCAAAAATAGTTGAAATATTTTTTTCCAAATTTTATTTTGTTTTTTATTCAAGAATCCGTGCTACTTGCACAGCAACTGGTTAACTTTTTTGATCTTAGTTTTTTTTGTTCAATTAGGTATAGAGAAGGAATGTCACCAAAAGGCCTTAAACTGTATTGTTTTTGTTGAATAGAATCATTTAAAGCTGTCTAAAAGGTGCAATTTTTTGGTAAGTTGATTTTTTGTTAAAGTTTTCAAAACTTAATCTGTTGAGTTAAATTTGATGTTTTTTCAGGAAACAGAGGCGGCATACATCAAAATTTTGGAGAGTTCACAAGTGCTGCTTAATGTGCTGAAGAAAGAAAGTGCATCTATGAAATGAGTTGACCAGCTTCTCCCATTTTAGAAGAACCCTCACTCAGCTTAGATTTAAAAACTTCGTGGCCTTTAGCATGTAAATACGTGTACAGATGTTTCGATTTGATTGTTTGTAATTTACAGTTCTTTTCTTAGTTTTGTCTGAAATGCTTTTCTTGATATCAAAGTTGGCTCTGGGGTTTTTGCGGAGCATTTTCTCATATCAGCCAGTAATTTGTCATCTAATAAAGTATTTGAACAGCTTCTGATTTAGAATTTAGTTTGAGAATTTGAGCAAGTTATACAGTTTTAAAAGTTCCATACAAACGAATTATTTTGATGACTGAGGGTTTCTGGAGAAATTGTTGTTTTAGGGAATATAAAGTAAGCGCTAGCTTTGGTCCCAAATATCAGCCTTTAAGAGGGATAAAACGTTTCAACAACTAAATGAGTTAATTTGAAATAATAAATCTAAGAATTCCTTTCACATTTGCTCGATTTCAAAAAAAAAAAATTAATTGGCAAAGTTTTAACTCGTCTTAGGTGTAAGCTTGAATGAATCGAAGTAAGTGGATTTTTTTTTGTTTATTTCTTCTCAATTTATGGTCTCCTCAAATGATATCAATAGCAATATTTTTATATTTGGGTCAGGCCAGAAATCGATGGGACGGATTAACTTGCCTCATTTTTTCAATTCGGTATGATAACTTGAGCGCGGTTAAGTTTGTGGTTTACCCAATGATCAATATAGGTAGTTTTACCGTTGCGATAAGCACTAGGGTATTGTAATCGGGTACTACACTTTTTTCCCGTAACTTTGTTCACAGCACTCATCTCCTGGACTGGTGCATCTACTGGGCTTTTTTGTTGCAGCAGACATATTTTAAGCATGTTAGTTTTTTAAATATAATCGATTTGAAACTTCTTTATGTTGTAATTTTACCAAGTACTTTTGAAAAACATTGCATAACCTTTTTTTCAATTGTTTTATTTTTTTTTTCGGCTTATTTTAGATCGACTTAATGGCGTCGTATGATCAGCCAAAAAAAAGTTTTTGTGTGCGTTAGTGTTCTGAGGGAAAGTGGGTTTCTGCTCAGGTATTTTCGGCATTGTTATTACTTGGTAAGTTTTGTTCATCTGAAACGATGGTTTCTCATTTTTTGAGCATGCTGAATGTAACCTATTGATGCTATCTACTAAGATAAGAAGAACGATGTTTTTCGGTGATTTCTCCTCTCGTACAGGCGGATACCACAAAAACATTTCGTTTATTGTTAGACTTATAATATTGAGTTTTTTCATCGTGGATCAATCTGCAGTGAAAATAACTACATTTTTGTTGTCAGAGTTAAACAAATTCCAGTCATTACATTTATACAAAACTCTTTCATTAAAGCGGTTTTTTTTGTTTGAACCCCCTCTCTACGGTCTAAACTTCCCGTGCCCGCCACTGACTTAAATGAAACTTTTTCAAAGCAATCAAATGAATTATAATTTTTGCATTTTCGGATACAAAATGCAATGTTTAAGACAAGTATTTCTGATTCGGCTTTGATTTAGTACCGATTCGGCTTTAATTTTTGAAAAACGACCGAATCTTGAAAAAATTAAACTTTCGTTTTTGAACTTAATCTAACATGATATTTAAATTTGTGACTGTCGTAAGATGTCATGAAATGGAGCTTGATTTGTTTTTCACTTTTCCATCCGTTGTTTTTAGTTAATATTTGAACATCTGTGCACACTTGAGCGTATACTATTTTTTTTAAAAGAAATACACATCTGACCTCGCCTGTGATCAATGTAGACAGAACTCTCATTCTCTGTGGAAAAGACAGCTAATCAAACAGAAAACACCCTCAGAAGAGAAGGGGCTCCTCAATGCAACACGGGGGTAAAAACTGAAGAGCAAAATATGGGGAAAGGAAACCAGAAAATCCATTTTTCAACACAGCTACTGTACTAGCTATTAGCTAGCTCAGCTTTGTTCGCAGCTACCATTACCGCCAAGCGCCAAGCGGTTAATATCAACCTTTAACATCAGGCGCAAATGGCATGTATGCAATGCACATTGTGTGAAGACATGGACAAGAATGATAAGTGAACAGAATTCGAAATTGAACAGAAGGGACCGCGTGAATGAAATGTGCTGCTGCTTTAAAAACAGTTGTGCCGTTTTTCTTTTTTCCTTTCCCCGCAGTTCCAAATGTTAGATGTATAGTTTGTCCCGTTCGTCTTGTGCGCGTCTGTCTATTTATCTGTTCTGTGCGGTGGAGTGGTGATGGCGATACGTAGCGAGATAGGAAGACAACTGCGCCAATAGAAATTCTAGTGCACATTTTTAAAAAACAGCAGTGCTCCTTTTCTTTGCTACTTTCAAGCTACTCCTGATGTTATGCTATGATGTGATTTGATAGTATGCGCGGTGGTGAAAATACAGCTAGCGCTCGAAATTTTTCAACTGGTGTTTTTTCAGCTCCTTTCTGTATTTTGTTCCCTTGTGTTCTATCTATATCTCTATCTGTGTACTGTTCCTGTATTAGTCTATAATATCCAAGTTGTGTGATTATTTCGTTATTAAGACACATGTGGCGAACATATGTGCGCAGTTGTGCCACCGATTCTATTCTTTAGTCAGTGCTGAACAACACAGATAGAATAGAAACAGAAATTTATAGTAAGAGAGCGAGGATCTTTGCTAAGCCAGCCTCTGTTCCAATATGTGAAATTGTCGTCTCTTCTCTTTTCACTCCGTAGTCTGTTCTGTTCTCCGCGCTATACTGCTGGTGTATTTACATATCCAACCACAATTCTGACTCCAAATCACAGAACAGAAGTGCTGTAGTTGCAGGCAGGGGGACTACTTAACGATTAAAATGAGAACAGCAGATGTCCTTATGTTTTATGACAGCTGACTCCTCGTTATTGTTTCATCGTACGTGCATCGATCGCGATATAAACAATTTTGTACAAAAATTGTAAAATCACAGGAACATCGACGCTGCAATTTTATAGCAGTTTTTTCAATAAATTGCGCTGATAAGAAAATAATATCCGATTCAAATATTTTTGCATATGGCCTCTATATTTCATACAACTATTTAAGTGGTTTTTGAATCAGACTGTTTCTTATTGCTAGATAAAGAAGTTCGCTAGAACAGTGAACCAAAAAAGGAAAGTATCGAAAATAACATTCCTCCAGACAACAAGTTGTCCGTTAATTGATATTCATATCATCAAAAGTTGATTATATTAGGATTAAAAATTGTTTTTATGTTTTTTTAATCAACTTTAGTTACAATTCCTTATATTATCAATTTGTCATCAATTTACCAAATTATCTCCGAAATGTCCGAATCGTCGCGGAAAAGAAGAAAACCAGCCAAACCGAGCAGACATTCTCCGAACAGCCAATCTGAACTAAGCACATCAACTGGAAACTCTATATCTCCTCCGGAACCTCATGTTGACGACGAAAAATCAACCTCGGTTGCCGTCGGAGCAGTAGGTGCTACCGGAACGGCTAGTGACGCCGGGACGACGCAAGACTTCCTGGCGAAGTTAGTGGCAAGTCAGAATGACATCGACAGCTACATGAGTGAGAAACGAACGAGAATGATGTCATCGAACGACGCCGCAGAGTCGGAGTCACGATCTGAGTCGCCACAGGACTCACTTGACCTTTCTTTGGGGTCAAGGTCACAAACATCGCCCATTAGTTACGCGACGTCGGGTAAGTTCATGTCTTAATTCAACACTTGGTTTCTGAATCAATACGTGTATAGCAACTTGTGAGAGGTTTCAGTTTTGCCATTAACATAGAAGATATATTTTTTTGTGCCATTTGGGAGGATGACCGTCTCAGGCAATATAGAATCCATCATCTGCTCTTTTTATTTAAATTGTTCCTGTTAACTGTTTTTTTTCCAGCCAACAATCCGTCAGATGCCATCACAAACCCTCTCGCGCTTCTCACCGACCAAACTTCGCAACTTCAAAGTCCATCTCTAGTACCAACAAACAAAAAAGCAAATGCCACCTGCAAAACCACCAAGCATCCTCCTACCAACACTAATAACCCCCCTCCTGTACTAGCTCATCCTGTAGTCACCAGCAGTCCCCACCTGGGCTCCTCTAATTCCAGTGTGGATGTGGGGGCAGGTGGGGAGGACAGTAGCTCAATTATGACTCAATACGAGGAGTTGAAGTCGAAGGCGATGACGTCACGAGCGAGGAGGATCATCGCCAATGCACGCGAGAGAAACAGAGTGCACACTATCAGCTCAGCTTTCGAGGTAATTTGAAAAGAATTATGGAAAGTTAAATAATTTTGAATCCTAAATTATGACCAGTAAAAAACCACCCATAAATTAAAATAGTCACCGACAATATACAAATTAGTTTCTTTTTATATAAATTAGGCCTATTTTAATTCTTTCATCATTCATTCAATTAAATTCGGAACACGTTGTTTTATTTCGCATTTATGGAGGTCGAACTATTTATGTTCTTGTTGCAGCAGCTGCGCCGTAGCATACCTTGCTACTCTGGCAACCAGAAGCTGTCTAAACTGGCCATCCTCAAAATAGCCACATCCTACATTCGCTGTCTCAGTCACGTGGCAACCAGAGAGGACCCGCCCCTGGAGAAGAAGGGCGTGGAGCTGGACCCTGGAAACGATCCCAAACTGTCCGAACTAGTGATGAAGTGCACTGTCAATGTGCTGTCTGACGGGAAATTAAAGAGATCAGATGTAAATACTTTCTGATCTCTTTTTCACCATATTTATTTTCAAAATGTGATAGGGAAATAGGCACCAAAGACCCTCCATATAGCTGTTTACTACTCCCACATTGCTGGTTACACGTCTCACTTATTTACTCACTTATAATATAGACCTCGCTTCAGCTGCAGCAAGGTTTTGAAAGATAAATCCCAATAATTAAAAATTATAGAAAAATGGATTTTTAAGGGTTTCAATAGCTCTTGCGAATATTGAGACGGTCGACCTGGAACTGGCTGATAGAAAAATATCTAAAACTCAAAAATTCCTTTACATGTCGTCGCTCAGTTCATTTCTAAAATATATGGTTTTATTATTGTCACTATTATGATTTAATTTCTTGAACTGTAGTGTAAGGAAATGTAACTCGTTCATTTGGGATTATGGCCGAGTAAAATATGTTAAAAAGTTTGAAAAATTTCCATTTTTTTTAGATTGGAGGAGTGGACGGTGGCGACAGAAGCGACGGGGAAGACATGGACTGAGTTGAGGGGGTACTACTACAGAACTTAACCTCTTGTCATCTAATTTGAAGCAGCCTGTGCACATCAATACATCATCAGACAGTCATAACTCAAACTGACTTTCCTCCTTAATTTATTCCAATAAACTCCTCCTCTCTTTTCAATTCCAAATTCAAATTCTATATCAGTTGCAATGTTTTCTCCTTGCAAGATAAACGGTGAACCAGTAAACACCTTCATAATAGTGTTTGTTCGCTTGATAAAGTTGTGTTGTGTTTGTGACAGAGCTTCAACGCAAGTGCCCCAGTAGCCATCAGTTGGCATTGAAATGATTCCTATCTTCATTTTTTTCACTGCAATGAAAGTCAATATTTGTATGACAAGTTCGCCTTCTCCGCGTTTGCACAAACAACACTTGTATTATATTACGAGAGGGTGGCGTCCCTCATGCTGGATGGACCGAATGCTTGAAATTTATTTTGGCTTATTTTCAGCCAATCATAACTCGAGTATTGAAAAATCTCAGGGAAATCGCGAAAATCTCAGAGTAAGCAAATAAATCCAGGTCATAAGTGTTAATATTACCCGGTTAGATAATATGCAGATAAATGAAAATAATACCGATTTACGAAAAATGGAAAAACAAAACACTAATTTTTTATATCTGCACCTATTATATCCGCATCTATTATGCTTATTGTTAACACTCTGTTAATATTGACTTCGAATTTGCGAGAAAGGCATTTAGCTCAAGCTGAGTTCAATTTTCTTTATTTTTTTCTCGAAATTTTTCATGGTTTCTTGTAACATTCAGTTTAAAATCTTCTGCTAAATAGAAGGCGAAATACGCTATTCAAAAATTATATGGATGCTTATCTTTTGTTTCACCAGTGGGTAATAGTTATTTGATCAAAAAAATTATTGAGGTTTCAATAAAACTGGATTAAACAGTTTATTGACAGTTTTTCCAATTTTGGTTAGTCTGATAAAATTTCACTCAGTAGATTTTAAAATTGAAAAACAGCGAGTTTATTGACTTTTTTCATAGATTTTTGTGATGCATCTCAGAAAAAAAAACAATCAGGTTATGTTTGGCACAATTTAGTTACTCAGCAAAGTGCATAATCCATTTTTATCCGCCAAAAATGGAAAAATAGTGCGACAACACCATGGCCTTAGTGTTTAACGATAGTGACTCTTGATTCAGAGATTGAAGCTCGAAAACTAGTATACCGAGGGGCGGATTTAGGGGGAAGCCTCCTCCTCAGAGATTCCAGCCCCAGTCGACACCAAGGGTTCCCCTTTGGTGCTTAAGAAATCCATTTTTGGCGAAACGACCGTAAAATTTCCCTAAAGGCGCCCTGGCGCCATATAATAATTTTGAGGAGCGCGCGCCAAAAAAAAAACGCGTTTTTCTGTCTGAATAGGGTCTATATAGTGTTCTGGGGCCGCTCGGAAACTCAATTTGGTCAATCTATAAAAACATCAACAAAATTTTTGAATTTTTTTTTTGAAAATCCACCCCGCAGCCAAAAAAATCCTAGATCCACCACTGAGAATACCAGTTTTTTTCTGGTCGAGTTTTTGTTTTGTCTGTTTCCTTTTATCTTTTCCATTTCTCGGCCGTTGTTAGTTTTTTTTTCTGCCATTGTTTTCCATGTGACCACAAAATGCAGCGTTGATTGTGTTCTGAACTGTGGGACAAGTATGTGATTGGTTTTGATTGATTAACGTAATAGTTGTCGAGTACATTTTGTCTTAGGAAGTTTTACGCAAAGAAAGTTGACTCGATTTATTCTGAAAAAAACATGTTTTTGGTCTCGACTTTTTTTTAAATGCATGAAATTGAATTTGAGTGGAAATGCGCGTAAAGCTTTGAGCTTAGTTCAATTTATTGGACAAATTTAATCAACACCGTATAGTGCCAAACAAATTGCCACTGAGCCCTAAATTGTTTCTTCAATCGCCACTGCCAATGTTTGTTTCGTGACACTTTTTGGCCAAATAAATGATTGAAATAGTCACATTAGCAAAAGTTTATTACAAACCTTATTGGCAGTTAAAAAACTAAGAATATCTTCCTGAAGTCTAAAAAAATACGTCGCTAAATATTATGATATGGAAATTTTGCGAATGAGCATTTAACTTTGCGTGAAAAAATCATAAAAACTAACATTATGAAATATATGTTAATTACACACAATTAGCAAGCGTTATCAAATCGGAATATAGACAATTTTCGGGTTATCAACTTGTTTAACAGCATCATTTGAATCACTTGTTTCTTGGCTCATAATGAATTCAAACTTCTATGAATTCGGCATTTAGCCTGAGGTGGAGGATCGGCATTGGGACGGCAAAAGTCGTTGTCTCGAATCTGGCCAAGAACTTTTTTAATTTTTAAACTAGAAAAATTCCCTTCCAGAAAAACGTCGGCCTACAGCTTCTCTGCTGATGTTTTTTCGACTTAGTGGCCACATCATAGAATTAATTTTTTGTAGGCAGTTTTCGATATAGTTATTTTAATTATTTCGAATTATTCCAGGAATTTTTATATTTTTTAGCACTGACTTCTTATATAAAAACTATATTCGGCTTAAAGGTTTCGGCTTATTTTTATCAGCTTAGTTACCTAATTTGGGGTCAATTTAAGGGAAACACAATTGTAATGCTTTATTTTGGATCGCCCAAAACGGTAAACTTTTTATAAAAGAATTTAGAGCTCAAAATTTTTCGTGACATCAATTATCTTTTGTCTCTACGAAAAATTTTTAAATTTTGCGGGCTCAGTTGCCGTTTGTCAAATAAATTTTATTTATTTATTAATTGCCGTCGATTGTTTTTGAACGTGTTTTCAGCAAAGAAAACATGATCACTGATCACTGACAATATTTTGAGTTTTTTTACTCTTTTTTTTTCATTTTTCATAAAATTAGTGGCTATTTTTTACGCTCTGCTAGCTTGCCTTGATATTTTATATTGTATCGCAAGTGGTGCGAAGCTCAGCTGCTTTGCTTCTGTGTATTTTTTTTCTTAAATCTAAGACAACGTGCTTTCCGACCAAAAATAGTTTTTATCAAAAAAAATTTGTACCCCAAGGAATTATGATCGTCTCATCAAGTTCAAATGTAAAAAAGATATTTTTCTTTTTGTTTTAATTGATTTTTTTGTATAACAATTGTGGCTTAAACACCACGGATTTAGTCAAGCTTTGAGCAAATTTTTACTTGTTGTGAGAACTTTATTACGCTTGCGATTAGCAAGCGTTTTCAAATCGGGTTAAAAACTTTTTGGGGTTAACAACTTGTTTAACAGAATTAATTGAACTACTTGTACTTTGGTTCATTATGAATTCAAACTTTTAGTTTTGTCCAGTACTTAGCCTGGAGGTGAAGAATGCGACTTGGACGGCAAAGGTATTGGGTCGAATCTGATTAAGAACTGTTTTTTTTTTCAAAAAGTAAAAATTCTTTTCCAATAAAATGTCGGCCTATAGTTTGTCGGCTTAGCTGTCACATCATAAAAATGATTTTTGTACAAAGTTTTTGATATAGTTACTTTTAGTGCTTTGACTTACGTTTTGAATAGTTTTCAATTTTCTATGCTTGACTTCGTATATTTTGCTGCTTTTGTTTTTTCTTCGCTTAACAAATGTTTTTGGCTTAAAAGACTTCGGCTGAATTTTGATTAGCGTAGTGACTTAATTTGGGGCCAATTCAATTGATGCTTAAGTTCTATGCTTCATTTCAGACGGCCAAAAAATGGCAAAATTCTTAGAATAAAATTTATAGCTCAAACTTTTCTGTACAATGATTATATTTTCCTTTCTACGGGAGCTTATTTAAGTTTCATCGGCTCCGTTTCCGCCCCCTTGTTACTTATATCAACACTTTTCCTGAGCTGCCGTCGATTGTGTTTCTGAATCGGCTTTCCTTAAGTCGAAATTGATCCCAGACAACATTTTGAGTTTTTATCAAATTGTTTTTTTTTTTTGTTTCAGTAGCTTTTTCTTACTGTCTGCTAGCTTGCACTGCTGTTGGTATGATGTATCGCAAGTTGTGCGAAGCTCCTCTTCGCCTCTGGGGGTATAGTTCTGATTTTTACTCGTGGCGAATTAACGAGCACTACAAAATTGCTTCAAATTGAATTGAGGTTAGCTGATTGGTCGTTATAATTTTTTTCATCTTTGGTGATGTTTATATTCGTTTTATTTGAGTTGAAAACTAACATAAATCAATCGGATTACTTTTGAATTTAGAAGAAGTGAAAAAAATTGCCTCAATCAAGAATTATCGATGTCAATCTTTAGATATTCATCTCATATTCAGATCGTCTCCAAAGAAAAATATTTGATTAATTTCTGTTGAAAAAAAAAAGATTACGATAAATTGTTTTCGACAACAATATCCATTTTTCTACTTTTCTTTCTTTATTTTTTTTTCTATTTGTTATAAATCATTTAAAGAACTAGAATTGACTAATTGCTATTGTGTGATTTCTTATATTCGTAAACACCTTCGTTAGTTGATTTTAGTTGTTAATTGAGTTGATTTTCTCGTATCAGGGCAAAGCCTTGAATAGTTCGACTGCACTATTACTGGTTTAAGTCGTGTATTGAATTAGAAAGATCAAAAGCTTGCCTCGCGACGAATTTGTAGTGCGGCATAATTTTCCTTCTGTGAATAATTCACGTTACACGTTCAGCATCAAACTACAAAACGAGCAGTTTAATAGGTTCGTGTCAGGTTAAATAGCGATGTGCGCACCCAGTGGACCCACGAAAATCCAAAGATTGATCCCTGAGTGAGGAAATAAACTTTTCAAAGTTGGTCATCATAAAAAACCACCCGACCATTTATATTCCTCACTTTTTTCGAAAATTGGAACAGAAGTAGGAACAAAACAGTATATTTTAGCAATTTTCTAGCTCGTATAGCTGTGCAAAAAGATTCCCATAGAAAACAAGCATTTGTTATATCATTTCTCAAAAACGTTGCCAAAAAACTAGTTAGAGCATCAAAAAGTGTTTGGAAAAATAATCCATCCGGAGCTCGAAACTCGAAAAAAATAATAAATTTAACCGTTATATTCTTTGCGTTATATTTTTTGTTGCAACATTCGAAGAGGTGCTCGGGGGGCTTTGACGAACAATTTTTGTTAGATTTTTGTTATCTGAAGAATT